AAAGAAAAAGAACCACCTTAATTTTGAAACATTAGAATAATGTGCAAGATTTGAAGGTTACAACTACTTTCTATATTATGGTCTAGATTACAGGCCCACATTAGCCACCAATCTTAAATAATTTACTTTTCCAATCAAAATCATATGAACATCAACTCCGCCTATACTTATCATTTTTCTATGCCCTAAGATGCACAGTTCTATTGGATTTAATTATTGACACAACCTCCCCAACTTGCATCAATATGAACTTTAATATAAAACTGCGAGAAAATCAAGGATTACCAACCAAATATATTAACATTAATCAGGAAAGACTTATCAGGAGACCCCACAGCAGACCGATGTCGCTTGTCCTAAGACAATTTGGACATGTCAATTTCATGTTCAATTGCAAATAAATTAGAAACACAGATGTAAAAGAATTAACAATCACACAAAATCCAATATCTGGACTGCACAAGCAAGCAATATGCCGCTTGACACATAGGCAGATGATAATAAGCAGAACATGAGCACAAGAGTTCAGGCAGCTTTACAACAGAGATACAGGTATGGTGGAAATTAACATTTACACTGAAATGATACGCATTCTCAACCATACAGGAGCATATTACACATATAAACATATCAAAAGTTCCCAATTAAAAGAAATCAGGAAAGAAGGAAAAATAATCTTTTGAAGACTTATTGAGAGGCTTTACATTTATATAAGGGAATTGGGATGTCTTATTCAAGCTTTTAACTTATTTTTGACAACGAGGCAGGTATACACCATATACTACTTACTTACCTCGAATCAAATATTTGTTGTGCCTCTTTTTGATATTTTGGATGAACAAAGATCAACAGTTCGGAGGGTGAGGTCTGCATTACAGCATGAGGAAAATTTTGAGGAAGATCAGAATTTAGGGTGTAATTTTCCAGTCAAAAGATGGCAGACTCACAAATTTATATGTACTAATTCATAGTTCTCAAACATGGTGCAATAAGACAAACTAAATGAAAACTATGGCCAAAGTCTCCAATGTTCTGACAGAACTCACCTTTCTTATTCACAAGGTTTGGGTATTTAGCTCGACATTGACCATAAATATCAACTACTAGTGAGATATCTATGAAACACAAGCCCTAGGAGAGGATAAAAATGCGGTAAGAAAAATTTTTCATAATCAAGGGGATTAGACAAACTGGAGTTTTCCTATGGTAACTAAACATCATTTGTTATATAATTTGTAAAAGCTCCACATTGCACTCAGTTTCAAATTACTAAATTGGTTGGTATTCTGATCTCAGGCAATAATCTCTGATACACATAGCTTTGACAAGTTGCTCAGAGGAGAATAAGAAGATGCCATAAATACCTCTTCCACTAAGAGAGAATGGTTGTCTGCATGCTTTTGTCCAAACTAAGAAAGTGCCTAGCTCTGGACACACTCAAATGGATGCAATGATCCCTCATGCATCTGAATCTGCTCAAGTAGTTCATGGGCACTGCAAATAACACATTTGGTCTCACAGATTAGTTGACTTCTTGAATAATCAACAATCCAATATACCTGACCTAGGCCCTTCACTTAAAACAAGAACTGAACTGCTAAATAAAGAAATAAAAGGACACACCAAAGCCTGGGAGGTCCCAGGTCCTGCAAAACCTATTTTGTAGAACTAATCTGCCATATGTTCACATCTGTGCTTCATAGGATCTTGCTTTATAGACATTTATTGACTCTAGAATCACTGACTAGTACAAAAAAGAGGTAGAGGAAATGTAGGGAACAAGAAATATTCCAAGACAGCAACCAAACATAGGGAAGAAACATTACCATACAAAGCATCTACCATGTTAGAAAACTCAATACAAACAGATTCATAACTTACAAGATAGCTCTGCGATTAAATTGCATCCTCTTTTGATTATCTTCCATGGCCTTCAATACATCAGCTGTTTCTGGACCAGCTGATCCACCAGCAACAATTGATGGGATAGAAGCTGTAGGAGTCCATATCTAAAACCATGCACAATTAAGATTAAAAATGGAACTTGGAATCTCGTGTAAACTGAAGCCTCACATTTTAATCACCTTTATTGTGTTATCAATTCCACTGGTTGCCACAACACAATCAAATGGATGGCACTGCACACAGTTTACAACTGTGGAGGGAAAGAAAGCTCATTAACAGCCAAAAAAAAACAGACAACCAAATGACAATTAGGTCAGCATTCTTTTGTAGGGAAAAATATTTACCAGCGTCATCTCCACGAAGCATTTTTATCAATCTACCAGTCTGCTTTTCCCAAATAAACCATCTTCCATCATCACTCCCACTAGCAACATATTCACCTGAAAACCATTATGACATTCTCATGGTGTTATATAAGTAAAGCAGTGGGCATTCCATTTGCGTTCTAGAGATGAGGGGAAAGTATGGGACCCCTTAGAAATAGCAATTGGAAGCCCCATTTCTTAATTCTTGAGATATGAGGCTGTTTGAGAAAGGGGGAAGCTAGGGCTAGGAATTGAACCCTGGTCCCCCACACGGGACTGCCCTTTAGGTAAAATCAACTTATTTATGCCATGCAAAGATGATGGCTTATGGGTAAAAAGATAGACCATATTTTGAAAATATTTTACAATATTTGATCTTTTTTATATTTTGTCAATATAAATGCACAGGTTAAGCTTGTTCATGAACTGCACCTAGCTTGGTAAAATTCAAGCTAGGCCATTCAAGAAGTGAGCTTGAAAACCAGAGTTCAAACTAATTTGTGAGAACAAATGAGCAAATGTTAAAATTATCACCTAGCAAGCCTGGCCTTAACAATTGCTTGCAAGTGGCTTTGTTAATTTGTGATGCTGCCATAACTCAGAAAAATCCAATGTACAGAGCACATGTTGAAAAGCTGGTTTAAAAGATGATTGCAAAATCAATTGAAATAGAAAGGCCTGGTTTTCAAAATATAAATAATAAAGAAGTACCTCTTTGACCAAGGAAACTAGCTTGTTTGATGTCAGTTCCGACATTACAATGGCCAACAAATCTCCGCTTCATATCAATAACTGCCTCAGGCTAGGAAAAAAATACCAAGATATGAATACATATGTATGTCATAAGCAGGATGATTAAATGAAAGAAGCATAATCCACTTGATAAAGAAGAAATGTACATGCTAGAGTAACCAATAAAATATCTGTTTTATAGCAACAGAACTGGTTGGAAAAATTGAATGTGTCATTTAGAAGCAAAGATAAAATGACCCACATCCAACAAACTCTTCTCCATCCCACTTAGTTTCACTTAAAAAAGAAAAAAAAACCACTCTAAACGTAACACCAGTCCATCATCTTAAAACATTTGCAAACTGTGACGAAGTTAAGCATACCAACCTGATAAGATGATTTATCATTTTGGGATGATGTGGAGGGCGATTCACATGAGCCATTAGAACCTCGATGAATTCTCAGGTTTAAACTCCCATGCAATATATTGGATTCAACATCACGCCCTTCATCACCAGAGATTTGAGTTTCAAAGTTAAACTCCACTTCATCATCATAATCAGAATCTTCTCTTTCAAATCTAGGTCCATCTTGGGAAGCATCACTATTAGGCTCTGAGTGATGGAGTATCTCACTCAAGGACAATACCCTTCTAGTCCAAGGTTCAAATCTTGGTTCATGTCTGTTGTTACTTTTTCCAGCTTCTTCTAATTATAGAAATAAACAATTAGATTCCAAGAAAGATGAAACCTATTATAAAAAAAAAAATAATAATAATAATAATTAAGGGACCTCTCCTTGAAATATTAGATTTTGTTTGACCTATAACACCATAATGTGCCAGGTCATAGTACTTACACGAACACCCTTATATCAGAAATAACCTATTTCATTATACTGGAAACCCACTGATCCTATAATTCTTGCATCTCCTTATGAACAAAAATCATCTAAGTTTCATGTTATTCAAACATGGCTGTACACTTTTGGCTAAGAGTAGGGTGAAATCTTCAAGGCAGCATTACCATACAGACAAAAAGACAAAACATTCAACAACAAAATGAACTGTGCAATTAACATTTAATTAAAAAAAAAAAAAAAAAAAAACGAAAAAAGAAAACTTTAATTGAGATAGCATAAGGACACACAATAGCCACAGACCTGCAGCAATTTTATTTTTTATGCTCTCCACTTTCTCAGCCACCATATTATCAGATGGAGCCAAACATTGTGCTGCCATAGCAAATTCTAGAGCTTCTTTAAGTTTGTCCAACTGCAAGAAACTAACAATTAGGAAATAGCAACAGAAACAATACATAATAAGGATTCTTCTAACCAACTTTACATAACTGTTTTACTGGCTGCTGTCATAATACAATCAAACAATTTAATCAAATTGATGGGAGCATAGCTTCATGTAAAGGGGTGGTGAAAACAAAGCCCAAGATTTCAGAGGAAAAAAAATAATGGCATGTTTATGCAACTCCACAATAATTCAGTTTTATACAACCAGAACTATACCACTAATTTCATAGCATGTATATAAAAAATTAAAACATGATCATAAAAAAATAAAATGGTAGACTGAGTACTAAACTTTTGTCAGATTATTATAGGCCAATTGTTTGAAAAGAATCTAACATGAGCTTATGATATTAATTGACCAAATAAAGCTTTTCATAATGTCTACAGATTAAAAGATACAAAGTATTAACCAACTTTTGAAAAGATAATTCCTTCTTGATAAACTTAAGAGTATCCTTCCATTTGACTGAAGAAGCGACATTTAGAGTCTAGATGTAGCTTTACAAGATGGAGAGAGAGGGTCAAGGGAAGAAGCAAAAAGCTACCACTCAGGTTCATGCCTAACAATTGGTCATTCTCTTTTGAGACCTAAAACCCCAAAAATGATATGATAATTTATCAGGGCAGGCCTATGGATTATAGGCTGAAAATGTTAACTACTAAATTACCTGCTCCAATGCTTCAGATATATAGTAATGAGCTCTAATAGAAGAACCATCTATTCTTTGAGCATTGTAGCAATCTCTTATGGCCATATGAGCATCATTTTTCCAATTCCGCTGAAAAAAAGAAATGAGTTAATATGCAACACACACGCACACACACAAAAAAAAAAAACAATTAACAGAGTACAGTTTCTAATGAACCTTCAGCAACAAGGCAGCACGAGTACACAAACATTCATGCATTAGGGTAGGCCCAACATCGCTACCATATCTCTCCAAAACTTCATTGCATGCCTCAATTGCATAGAAATGATCCTTCCCTTCCTCCAAGGACTTTTTCGCAATCTCAACCAACATCTTGCATTTTTCAAGCTGCAACTGCCATGTTAGACTAGCTTAAAAATACTGCTATGCAACATTCAAGGCATTTTCCAACCATAAAGCAAATCAACCTAGATCTCTGTGACAAATTTACCGAAACTAAAAACAAAAGCAAAAATAAAAAAATGAAGTCACTGCAAAGCAAAAAAGCAAACCCTTACAGCAGTAATACTTCTTCTCTCAAAACCATTTTGGATGACACTGGACACCGGTCGTTGATCTTCTACTCTGTTTAGTACAGGAGTGAAGCACAGTAACTTTAAAGTGTCTCCTGATGTGTATTTCATTGCACTTCCATTAGCTGAAAATTTTCAGAAACAACTAACATCAAATAATAGGAATTAATATTGTAATTTGAAAGAATAACTTAAAGACCCAAGGGTAGAGCGAAGAGATTATCAGACATATGAAGCACCATGAAAAACCAAAACAAAACATAGGCAAAATTGATTTAAAATCTAGTCCCTCCTTTGATCCCCTAACCCACCCACCCCCACTTCCCCCACCAAAAATCAGGAAAAAAGGGAAGATAACTTCCATTGTGATAAATTGTTAGAATCACATGATATGAAATCAAGCAATTAGGAACCCATTCCAAGAAGACAAACGAAAAAGTGTAATTACGTGTGAAATAAACTATATGACTATTAAAATATAAGTTCTCTAATTATACTCACCACAGTCTACATCCATTAGATATACATGCTCTCCACTATAGCTAAGAAGAACCTCTTCTCCACTTGGACTAAATGTCACATGAGTTAGTTGCATTTGAGGTTTCTGGAAGGCAAAATGAAACAGATATTCAACTAATATGAAAATTAAATTGGTTAAAGAAATGCTATTTTAGTGGAAACTTAGATCAAACTTTAAAGCATTAAAGAAATGTTCTCTAGCTTTTTAACTTTAAAACTAAGAGAAACTGGAAATCAGTCCTCAACAAGATATTTATGCTTTTAAGTTAAAGTGTTGAACTTGAACAGCTCCCCTAGACTAGCCTGTATACAGTAAGAAATATCAAACCTATTTGACAATACATGCAGAAGAAGAAAATGAAGATTCTGATAATAGGAAACCTTTAATTTGCAATTAAAATTGCTTATGCTTCAGAAAATATCATTAATCAATATGAGATAATAACCCAAACCAACTTGACAAATAAAGCATTTTCCTCACGTAAATAACTAGAACAGTGCTGATATTTCAAACAAACTTTTAAAAAAGTTCAAAACTAACAGAGTCAGAAAGATGCATGGGGCAGAAATAATTGACACAAGGAGGCGGTGACATCCTTTTCCCACTTGAGGTCAACGGTGGCAGCATCCTTCTATCATACAAGCGGGCGAATGCATCACTGTAAGAATTAAAACATTAATGGAAAGGATTAGTAAAGAGAATCCCAGTGAAGGGGAAAAAAACACAAATGCAGAGTATGGGACACATACTTCCCACCAACAAGGAGTAAGTGAGGTCTGGTAGAACTGATATCGCAAGATTTTAGGGCAAGAGTATGCTTGGGAGGATCAGCTAGAGACCTCTTCCCTCCACAACGCAAGTCCAGCTAACCAAGATAACAAATCATCATTAGTGATCACAATAAAAGGCAAGACATATAAGATTTCATGTTAAAGAACATGACATTCTCTAATGTGATGCAACAGAACTACTTCAAACCTCAATTAAGTCTGAATCTAAGGAGAAGGAAAGCAACGTTATATAAACATTAAAGAAAGTAACATCATGTTTCTCAGTAACTAGATCAAATAGGCAGACATTTTAATGATGCATGCAGAGCATACATTAATAAAGAAATTCCCAATCACAATGTAACACTCACTAGAATATTACGACATTCATGGTGAGGTGATCCTGCCGGAGGACAAGAAGTGCCCTCCCTAAAGTCATGCTGTCTCAAAGTCCCATCTTCACTAGCACTCCAGACCACATTGGGATTTCCAACTTCGACCTTTAAAAAGAAGCAGGTAATGCGAAAGATGAGCAAAAACAACCAGATTTCATATCCACCATGTAAGGCACCAATTTTTGGTTGAAAATTTCATTTTCAAGTTTGATCTGTTAAACTAGCCTACACCTAAGAATCAAAATCTCATTTATGCGATAAAATCCTACCGCAAGCTTTTTGACTCTTTTCGTATGACATTGATAGACTGCAGATGGAGAAATAGCACCATCATCACGTTCCCTCCCACTTAAGCGAGACAAATTAAACAAGCGAACCTGCAAAGAAGATCATTTATGCAACTTACCAAGCACACCTAACTACATGCAAAAAGAATCCACCATAGAAGCTTAGCAAGTCCTCTTCGTCAAAAAATAATAATAAAAAAAATAAAAATAAAAATAAAAATTTACTTGTGAATCTCCAGCTCCAGAGACTACAAGCTCATCAGAAGTTTCAGGGACAAACTTCGTACAGAATATGTTTCCTGAGTGCCCTGTATCTATAGAGTGGAGGAGCTTTTGACCAGAGTAGCTCCAAATGTTAACCTGCATAAATCAAAGAAAAAAGAAGCTGATGTCAACAATGGATGGCACAATAACATGCATATTCATCCGTGCACCAATGTAAAGATGTCTGATTGCTCACAAACTTTTTCAAACACATTTGTGTTGGCAAGATAACAGCAGAGCCAGTCTCAAAAGACAAAATAGGAAAATAAAAAAAATAAATAAATAAACACATGTTCTACCTTAAAATCCAGTCTACTCAAGCAACCCACATGTGACCCACTAAAAAATTACCTAATCCTCATCTACCACATTAACAAGTGAAATACCATGATTTTATCAAAGTCCTATATTCATGGCATGTTTTCGCTTTTAAGAATATCAAAAACCCTAGAACACCTTTCATCACACCCTTTAATCAAAATTGGGTACATCCGATCAAATAAGCCCTCTAGACACCACTAAAACGTCCTCCCTTGTCTCAATTGGATGACTTTAGGATCTATAAGATCACATTTCACAACCAACAATCTGTTGGTTCAAGTGGAAGGAGCTTGGTTCCCCTTAAGTAAGGCCTTGAGTTCAAGTCTTGTGAATGGTGAGATAGGCACTATGAGAGTTTCCCCCCTAATGGGGTTCGACATGACTTGACTCCACATTAGACAAGGCCCAATGTGAATTCCAAAGACTAGGGGGTTTAGTACCAAAAAAAAGAAAAAGAAAAAGAAAGAGAGATCACATTTCAAAGAGGAGAACTTCCAAGTACCAAAAGACATGAGAAAGAGGCAGTCAAAAGTCAAAACCACCTGATTATTGAGATCTGAGAGGATTAACAGAAGACTCAACACAAGGCCTCACATAAAAGCAACTAGTCTACATAACATTTAAAAAGGTCAAACATAAACATATCCTATCATGTCTGACACCATAGTAAAATTTACCATATTCACCCTTGATCCAAGAACCAAAGTCATTCTAATTCAAAAGTTGGGAGGACTGTATCGCAGCAAAACAAGATATTCACAACTTCTAAGATAATGCTAACTTCCAAGAAATGCCATAACCATATTTCTCACACACAACCTGATACTTTTCATTTTCTCATCTTTTACTATAAACAATGATCAAGGAAGTTGTCTTAACTCATACCTGAGAATCATCAGATCCAGAAATTAAAAGTGATCCTTTTGAATTCCATGCCACAGCATTTACACAACCCTGATGTTCCTGTCCAGAGAAAGCAAAATTTTAGACAGAAAGGAAACAAAAGTTTAGGCTCAACAAACAAAATCCTCTAGTTCTAGAATCTCAAATGTAAAAATTCAGTCAGCCATATTAAGAAAATTATTTTTTAACACTAATGAAAAAGAAAAAGAATAGTTATTCTCTAAGTTGTGTTGTTTAGAAGAAAGAGGCCAGCGGCTCCAAAGTAGGTGAGAATGTTTGTACTTTTTTTTCTTTAATGGGATGATGTCTAAACTTTTTAAATACTCTGTGATGATCCATCAGCTAAATAATGTGTCAAATATTATTTACTTGAAAGAGATTTAACAAGAAAGGATCTGAGAAATGTAAGTATTGATGCTCATAAGAATGATGGTTTTCCAACCAAACACACATATCAGATACTTCAAAATGGAAACAACCTTCAGTTCTCTTTCCTGTGAGAGCCTCCGTATCAAAGATGAATGCATTTGCAAACTGCGATTAACATCCTACATATATTTATAGCAAAGAAATTCTTTTAGAAAGAGCATAAACAATCAATCATTTATCAGCCAGCAAGCCAAAACAAACAAAAGATGAGATGTAAGTAATATAAAGGGTAATACTCTGTATTAACTAACTTTTTTTGTAAAAAAAATATGCCTTCTTAACACATTAAAAATAAAAAATTAAAAAAAAAAAGAGCAATAGAGAATGAAATTATAGCCATTTTCCATCCATTAATTTTGTTAAGTTTAAAAGAAGATACTGAGAAGCTTCTGGATGAAGCAATATTCTAGCTGAATAATAGTTTATTTCAATGAAACTTAAACATTTGGACATTAATTGAGTTTTTACTTGTTGAAAACAAAGGTTTGCTCAACAGCAGAGAGAGCTGGATACCCTAATTATTTCAAACAACTGGTGCTAGTTATGATCATCAAACAGTGTACTGTAATCAAATTCAATTCTCAAATTTGAGAAACACTGATAATCTCAGAGCTTACAGAGAATTGGATTACTAAATTTCTATAATGCAATAGCTAGCCGATCATAAGAGATGTAGGACGCGAAAAGTAGGATGAATTTGGATTAACGTTATGCACTGACAACAGTCACATACATCAGATAGAACTCGAGATCGCCTCGAGAAATAGCAAAATCAAGCAAAATTTCAACGTGAATCTTTAGGAAAAAAAATAAATAAGTAAAGGAGAGAACGAGGAAATACGTAGCGAAAGTTGATGAGCCTGCTTTCGAGCAGGTGGTGAATGTTGCCATCGTGAAACGGCGGAGTCGCCATCTGGAAGCTCCGAAAACCCTGACTAGATCGGCACCGGAAACTGAGAATGGTGAAGAGTACGACCGACGCGTGGAAGAAACGGGCTTTCCAAGGCGAAATTGATTTCGAGCTTATGGCACCTTGTGCGGGTTACTTGATGGTTCCAGAGCGGAAGAGAAGAGAAACTTCGGTTTGAAGCTTCTATTTTATGGTTTATAATAAATTGATGAAATAGGCTGCCCCGTGTGCTTCTTAGTTCTTGCAATTTCTACACTTCTCTAGAGACGAAGGAAAACGTGTAACAGTATAGACACAACATAAGTCATGTGATCTAACAGGGCATACTTGTAAGCTTGTCTGTACGTTTAAGATTTAATAACTGCATTCCGCTGTTGAGGCCTGCAACCCACGACAGAGGTTGCAGGTGGATTGCACTTTAATCAGTGTTTGAATTTTGTCAAGAATAAATATTAATTTAATTTTAAAATTTTTTTATCAAAAAAGGTTTTTAA